TCATGTACATACCTTGAGCCTTCTTGCTTCTATAACCGTAGCTGTTAATCTGCTGAGATTTTCATTATACACCAAGGACACCAGGAGTTCGCCCAAGTCAGATCTAATTTCTTGAGGCTCCTGTAACAGAGAGTGATAGAGCCTTATAGCAATTCTGATGACTTAATGGGTTGATTTACAAGAAGGTCCCACAATTTTGAATAGTGAAAGCTGGATTATTTCTTTATCTCAGCACGAAAGGGCTTTCATGTTCGAGCATATCTAGGGAGGATAGGAAAAGAGTAGGAAGTTGTAGGATTACTTTCCTGATTGAGAAAAAAATGGGATTGTGTACACTAGTCAAATTAATGCTAGCTCATTCTCTTCATCATTCGAGAACACTTGAACTGATTCACCACTGTACAATTCAGATAATTGTGTCGAAAAATATTCGTCCCTGAGTTCTTGAATTCTTGAATGTACGGTTCCTCGTTTTAATTGAAATTCCTAACAGCAACTCTTTCAGAAATGTCCTTGTGATAACCGCCCGAACTGCATTATCAATATTTTTTCATTGATGTTCATTCTATCAGTTTTTCTGGTTGAAAGAACTCTGGCGAGTTGTTCCACCATTCTTGAGGTTTGGTTTGCATCCATGATTTTATACTAGTCTTTTTTGTATAGCTTTCGCAATACCACAGAAGGGTTCTGGGCCATTAAGAGCTTTGTTTGCTCCTGCTCGGGCAAGTGAGTCTGCCTCTTCATTGCCCTCGTACCCTGTATGTGCTGGTACCCATGCTAGAGTCAATCTGTTCTGACTGCCCAGTGCATTTAGGGTTTCTAAGCAGTCCCATACTAGTTTTGAGTTGACTTGCATAGAGTTGACTGCTTTGATTGCCGCCTGGCTATCTGAATAGATTGCAATGGTTTTGCCTTTAAACTCTTGCCTTATCAATTCTTGCACGCAATGATGTATTACAATAATTTCTGCCTGAAACACCCTCGCGTATTTGCCTAAGCTCAGTAAGATTCTTGTCTTTGGCTTGGCCCCATAAATACCAGCTCCTGATCCTTCATCAGTTTTGGAGCCGTCCGTATAGACAGCAATGTCTGCATTGATAGGAGGTCTTTCCTTCCATGCCTCTCTGTCCCTTATACTTATTTCAAAAGTTTTTTTAAAGCTATATTTTGGAATTATGCCATCCGTTGGCATCGCCATGATGGGGTCGCTTTCCAACTCCTTATAGTCTTTACCGTGCGCGTTGCTTATGGGTGCTTGACCCCTTGACAATCTACTCACGACTGCTCTGGCTTCGCCTTGAATATATATTCGTAGTGGTGGTAGGTTCAAGAGGACCTCTAAAGCGGCTCTTCGAGTGGTTTTCATTGCACCAGTGGCACTCAGGCACGCTTGCCTTTGAATAGCACTGAGCCTTCGAATCACTCCAGCCTGTTGTGTCTTTGGCCACCAAACTACTGACCCATATGCTATCATAGGCCTGATGACGCTGGCATAGAGCCATGTGGTCATTTTTGGTTGCAGTCCCCAATTTTTTCCGCACATTTGTCTGCACAGATTGAAGGCTACTGTACTTTTTTGAACAATTTTTTGAAGGTGTTGATTCCATGTTAACTTATGGTCAAAGATGACTCCTAAGTATTTTGCCTCTAGGGCGAAGGGGAATTTCTACATCGTTGAGTACTGGTGACTTTAATCATTCCAGTACTCTCTTTTTCATGAAATTCACTTTAGTGGTTTTATGAGGGTTCACGGTGAGTTCCTCCTCTTTACACCAATTGTCAATTATGTTTAGAGCGGTTTGTGATGAGATACCTTACCCAAGCTGTGGTTGAGTGATCTTGAAAGATCTCTATTGTAGATACGGTTGATGAGATGTGGAGCGAAACTATTGTTGTGTCCTATTTGCTTCATTATATTGAGTTCCGAATTGAACTTTTCTTCATTGAGTGGTAATTTGAAAAGCCTATGAAACAAAGAAATGAATGCAGCAACTTTATGAGGAAAAGGGTGACAAGAAGAGAATGGTATGACTGTGTATGTGTGTATGGGCTCTTGGCTTTTGGTAAACAGAAAAACTGAAATTGTCTTTACTTTCATCTATGTGCGATTCTATCGAATAACACCAATTAATCGTCAACATAACGGTATCGAAAGCATATTTTATTGTATAAGGGAAAGAGGGGCAATTTACTTTCTAGATTTTGAATAAATATTTCAGATAATGGAGGTGATATATTGCTGCCCGTAGCAAGTCCAATAATCTGAGAAGAATATGAATTATTAAATTGGAAAAAAATTGTTCAAATACGATGTCAAGTAGGGAACAAATGTTCAAAGTATGGAAAGAATGAATATTTGAGTCAAAAAGTGAATTGCGGACTATATAAATATAGCTAATGAGGCAAACTGCATGAGAGCAATGAACATGTTTGCAGTGAACGTGTGTTTAACCACATTTTGTTTACATGGATAACATATCGACAGTAACTGAAGTAGTAATATATGATAGAATTACGGAAACGGCAATAGAATTTCATGAACTGTAACGAAAAAAAGTCACGTAACTAGGACTAATTCACTTTATATTGCTTTCACTTCACTGAAATGGTTATAATTAACAAGGAGGTATTATAGCAATTTATCAATTTGATAGTAGGCAAATGAAGTTTGCATCCCAATTATACAGTTTTTTTTCATAGTCAGCCTACCTAGCTGAAACAGACTCGATGCATGATTTGTCGATATTAAAATAAGTACACTAATTGAATTTTCTTCATTATTTGATTATGGTATAATCGACGATTTACTATCAATCTTTTATATAAGATCTATAATGAATGTCTCCCATCATTCAAATAACCCTATGGTCGGGAATTAGTTTTTTGAAGAATGATAAAAATTATACGATAATAAGTAGTTGAATTATCAAGCAGGAAACATCTACTTTGCTAGCTGATACCACAGAAAATAGGATTATGTAATATTGGAAATAGGTACCATATATGGAAGAAAGAAAAAGTGTACAATAACTATTAGATCTAACAGAAAACAACTAGTTTTCTGGCTAATCGGCATGGAATATTAAATAATACATGTGAAGTATCGAAAACAAACCTGAGATATCTGATTCAGAGAGTAAACTTTTCTCATTCATAATTGTAGATATTGTCGATAAGAATGGTGAAAAAAATTGATATCTGATATTCGCATTTTTTGGTTTAGGCCATGCAGAACTTTTTATGAAGAATAACTCATTATTTGCTTCCTAAAATCAATAATCAGAAAGATTCCGATTTGTTGTCAACTTCTTCAGACATACTTTACATACAGTGTGTCCACCTTAAGGACTTACCACCCCTGTAAAATCGTTATTATCCGACCAATTTCAATAAACCTTTTTTTGTTGGATAGGTATTTGAAATGCCCATCCAACGATGGGAAACACTTTTTTTTTTTTTTTTTTAAACGAGAGAGTGATCTTATTCTTGGACTGTTATCGTGGCCAACTGCGACAAATTTCAATGACCCATATTCCAGAAAGTACTATTAGGGATTTTTTTCCACGAAACTCGATCATGGATTCTGAATCAGTACCACTTGAAATATACCGATTTTCATCATCATAAAACACAGGATGTCCGAAAAAACGAATCATCATTTTCTTCAAATAGGTGATCAGCAAATGTAGTTCTGTTGTTTTTCTAGAAAGAAATAATCAAATATACCTGTACCAATTTTCGTCATTTAAATATACAATGTGTCTGAGAAAAAAATTAAAAAGGATAGGTAAGCAATATTTTTCATCCTGATAATTCTTCACTCAAAATAAAGATGAATCAGGATCACTTGGAGCATACCTGTACCGATTTTCATCATCATTAAATACAGGGTGTTCGAAAAATCAAATTAATATTGTTTTCGAGATGATGAAAAAATATTGCCTACTTTTTCTTTTTAATTGTTTTCTCATACACATCGTATTTTTGAATGATGAAAATCGGTACAGATATGTTCAAAGTGATCCTCAATGATAATGTGTCATCAATTCTTCTCAAAAATACCACAATACTACATTTTCTGATCACCTATTATAAAAAAACATGATTCGTTTTATCGGACACCCTGTGTTTTATGATGATAAAAATCAGTAAAGGTGTTTCTCAAGTGATTGTTATTCAGAATCCATCACTGTTTTTGTGAAGAAAAATCCCTAATAGTACTTTCTCAAATATGGGTCAATAAAGTTGGTCGCAGTTGGCCACGATTACAGTTCATGAATAAAAGCACTCTCTTGTTGGATGGACATTTCAAATACCTATCCAACAAAAAAAAAAGATTTCTGAAATCGATCAGATAATAACAATTTTACAGGGGTGGTAAGTCCTTACGGTGGACACACTGTATGTAAAGTATGTCTGAAGAAGTTGACAACAAATTGGAATCTTTCTGATTATTGATTTTAGGAAGCAAATAATGAGTTATTCTTCATAAAAAGTTCTGCATGGCCTAAACCAAAAAATGCGAATATCAGATATCAATTTTTTTCACCATTCTTATCGACAATATCTACAATTATGAATGAGAAAAGTTTACCATTCAAATCAACTTTTGATTCCTAATTACACTTGAGCAAAATCATCATATCGTATACGAGGACTGGAATAAGTTGGTTGCTGATACTTGTATTTTCGGTTTTAGGCCTTGTAGTAATAATCACGTTTTTCCACCACTAGCTGTAGAAGCTACCATTATTTACTCCTTCTCGAGGCGTGAAGTGTGTTTTTACTACTAAGGTAGTTTTCGTCATTTTATGAACCACTAGTCAATAATGACATAGCCACCTCTGTTATAGTTAACCCGAATTAACTGTTCTAATGCGATATCCGCAGAGATGGGATTCGGATCTAGTACGTATTCAGGGAACCGAATCTGTGTTCATAGGACCAGAACCATATTTTGGGGTCACCGCAAGTGCGGCGAAAACAACTATCTCGGGCTGGGCGGAGGGAAAAACACTCACGTACTGGTCTGAATTACCAGGATTAACCCATTCGAAGGCGTTCCTACCTGAACCATCGGAAAAAATAACCAGGCAGATCCTAGAATGGAGCAGGGGTAA